CGGATTTCATCGGCCGTCCTGCACTTCAACCAGTTCTCGGGGCCAGAGCGTGCAAGGGCCATGACGACAGGGGACCTGGCTGTTACGTTTCAGCACCTCCAGCTCGGCGGGCGGGGCACCTCGGTTCCATCCCCGAATCATGGAAGCGCTCTTCTCGAGGAGATCATCGGAGCCGCTGGTTGGCCCGCACGTGCTCTGGGCCAGACGATGGCGGTGCAAAGCCTTTGCGACGTTGAACTGCGGATGAGTCTTGGTGCGGAGGCAGCGCGCCGCCGCCGTGAAGAAGGGGGCCGCGTGGTATTTCATGTGCTCGACCAGCTGCGCCCTGCGCTTGAAGGATCGAAATGGGCACAACTTGCACGTCTGCTCGACGACGTCGCCGGCGTAGCCGCGCGGCGACGGAGAGCGTCATTGTACTTGCCCACCTCGGCCGCCAGTGAAGCCGCGAAGAGTCCGACGGCGCCCTCGCCGACGTCCGCCATCCGCAGGGCAGCCCGCGGCGTCGCCGCTGGGGTCTCGAGCCAGCGAGCTGCGCAAAACGCCAAGATGGCGATTGGGGGAGAATTGCGAGAGACGCAACTGCAGGAGAGAAGTTTGGGCGCGCGAGAGGGGTCGACGACGACTGACAGTTTTTTGTTACTACAACTTTGAGCCGACGCATGAGAATAGCTTGAGCCAGGAGTCCAGCAGTGAGGAACGCCACATTTAGTTGCTCATCTTTGCGCCGCTTGCAATTCGCCTTCCCGAGCGTTGCAATTTCCCTGCCGCGAGCGCCCCCTCGCCCCGGCTCTTAGTTTGCCTGCTGGTGCGCCAGAACCGCGCCAACCGCTTGGAAGGCGCCTGGCGGCTTCGGCCTAAGGCGCAAGCCCAAGTGCCCGTCGGGAAGAGAGAGAGAGAGAGAGAGAGAGAGAGAGCAGCCTGTCCCGGCGCCTCAGCTGCGCCCTCACCGCCCTGTCGCCGGTAGTCCCAAGGCGGCCCTTCTCCTTGTCAGCCCTGTTCTCCCACCGCCTGAGTTCGCAGCTGAGGTCCTCGAGGTGTGAGATCGTGAACTCCCCCACCCACAAGCTCGGGTCAACCAGTTTCGGCTTCGCCAGCTGGAGCAGGGCTCGGAGGCGCTTCGACTCGTCGAGGTCGCGCGTGGTGCACCGGCGGAGTATGGGAGAAGAAAGACAACGCAGGTCGGCTCTCTTGGCCCTTCCCCGCCCCCCATCCCACTTTGATTCCTCTCGCGGACGAAGAGTGGGGGGAACGCCAAGAGATCCGACCTATATTGTTTTCCTCCTCCCAGAGGACCGCCTCTGCACCCCCCCCCCACAAAGTCGTTCTCCGCCAGGGTGGGTCCGCGGGCCGCCTTCGGACGGACAACGGCCAAGTCGCGAGACATCAGCATCCTGCGCCACTCGGCGTGCACGAGCAGCGTCCTCTCGAGCGCGTCGCCGAGCGGCTGCCCCTTCTCCAGCTGCCGCGCAGCCGTCGCGGAGCGGCTCTCGCGCAGGAGTTCGGAGACGCACTTGGCCATCGCCTGCTTCTGCTCGTGCGCCCCTTTCTGGCCCGCCTGCCGCGCGTGCTCCGCGTTCCAGGAGGTCCTTTTGGTACCCTGCGTAGGCCTGCCTGACGGTAGCGTCGTTTACCACCGAGGCGAAAACACTCTCGTCGAAGCACCTGCCCTCCCCGAAGGCCTGCCCCGAGCTTTCCTCGTGAGTTGCCAGCGCTTTCTGGAGCAAGCCTTCGCCGTTGAACCAAACCCTGGTGAGCAGGATTCTCTGGAGCACCGAAGCCAGGGGCACCTTTCTGGAGTCGTGGAGAAGCGCGCGGAGCTCCAGGTCGGCGGAGTTGAGCTCGTGCGACGCATCGCCGCCGCGGTGCGTCAGCCACGCGGGGTGGACGAGGAAGGACGCGACCAACGGGTTCGGCACCAACCTCGCGAAAAGCTGCTCAGGCACGCTGCGCCCGTGCAGCTTTTCCACTGAGCTTACCGCCCTCGCGCTTGCAGAGGCGACCAACCTGTCCACCTCGTCGTCATGTGTGTGGGCGCCGCGCCGGAGCCCTCCGACCTGACGCTGGGCCGCGCCTTCCTTCCGCTCGCCGCCATGTTGCCGACAGAGCGGCAACCCATCTCGCCCTACACAGTTGGCACGGTGGTACCCTGTGGGGCCCCCTGCCCCTCGGGCTGGGCATGGCAACCACGTCGGCGACATGCCAAACTACCTGGAGCCCAATCGGCTACAGAAGAGGAGACGCAGAGGGAGAACAAGGTAGAAGTGCAAGAACTAAGAAGAATATGAAGCAAGAAAAAGAGAAGAGTCAGGAGGGGACGTCGTACGGCAAGATGGCAAGAAGGAGAGAACAAACAGGACAGGCGAAGATTAGAAGGATAGGAATACCAATGCCCAGAGGGCTGGAATCCCAAAGTTTGCGGCAAAAGTTTGCGTCCCCGCCGAGAGGCGATTATCAATACTTACCTCCACCAGCATCCGCGCAAGTTCCGCCGACGCCCCCCTGGAGGATGGCAGTGTTCGACGGAAGTGATTGAACAAGATGGGGAAGCGTAGGAAACAGGAAGATAGTGAGGCAAGAAGAGGAGGAGCATCAGGAGGGGACGTCGAAGTGCAAGCAAGGAATACTGAGAGAACATAACAGGACAGGCGAATATCAGAAGGATTGGAGTACCAATGTCAGGAGAGAGCTGGCAATGCTCGAATCACCCCTTGTTTTGTCCCAGCCACGAGGCCGATACCACGGAGGAAAGGGTGAGGAGGGAGGGGGTATGGCGCAATTAGAACGATCCACGTATGTGTAACAATACATATACCGAAAAGGATGAATAAACAAATGGTAATGGATCCGAAGCATCACCCCCCTCCCTCCCCCCCCTTCCCTGGAGTAGATCTTGGCTGTTTTCGGCGTATGTTTCGAGCAGCTGGAGGCTCCCCCACAGGACGCATTGCTGCAAACAGTCGCTTTAAGCAGACGTCCGTGGCCAGATCCCCCCCGCGCCCCCCCCAATGTCGAAACGCCCAATGTTGAAACGCCGAACAAGAAAGCGTTAACGTGCCCGTCGGCCCGAACGGGCTGCCAAGGGCAGCCTTGCCCAGGCTGCGTCCGGGAGAGAGCCCTCGCCCGAGCCTGGACCTCTGGGACTGGCAGCCTGCGTGCTTCGAGCCTTTACTGCTTGAAAAAGCCCTCTAGCATGCTGATGCACGGAGGCCTCGCAGAGTTTGCAACATCAAGTATATATTCGAGTCCTTCCCTCGGCGGCGAGCGCGGGGGGGAGTGAGGAGGGCGGGCCTTTTCAGAAGGCTCGGAAGTCCCCCGGCCTTCAGAGAAGTGTTCTACGCCGCCTCCTCCTCCTCCTCCTCCTCCTCCTCCTCCTCCTCCTCCTCCTCCTCCTCCTCCTCCTCCTCCTCCTCGCCTTCCTCCTCCTCCTCCTCCTCCTCTCCTCCTCTTCCTCCTCCTCCTCCTCCTCCTCCTCCTCCTCCTCCTCCTCCTCCTCCCCCTCCTCCTCCTCCTCCTCCTCCTCCTCCTCCTCCTTCTCCTCCTCTACCAACCCCAGACGCCTTCTGAGAGGCCCCGTCGCCTTCTGAGAAGGCCTTCTCCTTCTCGTTTTTCCCCCCTCGCTCGCCGCCGTTTCTCCGTCCCTCGGCCTGCGCCTCGGCCTGGGCAGTGGAGTGGCCCCTGAGCTCCCAAGGGGACCCCTGCAGCTTCCAAGAAGTCTCTGGGCACGGGCGAAGAATCCCCCCTCAAAAGGGCGCACCCCCGCCATGAGAAGGAGGAGGAGGAGGAGGATGAGGAGGAGGAGACTTGCAAGGCGGATGCAAGGGATATAGAACGGACACAGCGGAGGGGAAGGTTTTGCCATGTTTCTTGAGGCGTTTTGTGGGTGGGGGGGCATCTTATAGCGCTCTGGGGCTGTGTGGACCCTCTCGTCTGCTTCTTTGGGGCCAGGGGGCCTCCAGGGTCGTCTTCCTAGCGGCCTCTTGGGTGTCTTCGGTCGCAAGTCATGAGAGCCACCCGTCAGGAAACCGAATTACGAGTGCAGAAGCGTCGACTAGAAAAGATAGCGCCGAATTCGCTTCGTCTCGCATCAATTAGCGTCGATGCAGCGTCGACTCGCATCGATTAGCGTCGATTCGCAAAAGCAGACAAGATGGTATTGTATGGGAGGCTCCCATGAGTTGCCGCAGAACTCTTGTAACATGTTGGCGCTTTGGGGGTCTGCCATTGGCCCCCGTCATTCAGCGGCCCGTGGCTCCCAGGTCCTCCGGGGCTCTTCTCTGCCACATTCCGAATCGCGAATCTCTATAGCCCCAGGGGACCGAAGCAAGGTCTCGCACGTTGGAGCCGTCTCGTGGTCTGAGGTGGCCCACTGCTGGTTTTGGCCAGCAGGAGGGGCGGGCGAGGTTCGAGGTTCTGGGATCCGGGAAGGTGTTTGGCCTGTGTCGGCCTCCGTGGACCGTTTTCGGGTCCTGGGACCATGCAAAACAGATCCGGGGTGAAACTGCACAAGGTAGACTCGGGGAGGGATCCGGGGTCCGATTTTGAGAGGATTTGGCTTCACCCCCCCCCCCCACACCAGATTTTTCGTCGGCGAAGATGGGTGACGGATTTATCCTACTGCGCCGCCTAATCAAAACAAGACAAATCATCATGCAGAAAACGCAAAAGCCGGTTTACTAAATTAAAAACAAAAAAGGATGTTCTAAATCCAGGGCCTTTGGTCTACATCCCAGATCTTATCATTACCATGACCTGAGTGGTTCGATCAAGTTTGTGTGGTCCCAACCAGTTCAGACCCCCTGGCCGCCTCGAAGTCCAGGTGACCGAAGGACGGCCTCGCACGCAGGTGGCCCCAAGGGGTCGGCGGCTTGAAGGACGTGTACGCGTTGGGTGGGAGTGTTCATGTGATCGTTGCAACTCCGGGCAGGCTGAAAGATTGCCTGTGCTCCGAGAAGACGAACCTGAAAAGGACAACGTTCCTCGTCATCGACGAGGCCGACGACATGCTGGACGACAGCAAGGACAGCCAGGAAAACGTCAAGCAGATCCTGGAGCGGATTAGGCCCGACCGACAGGTTCTGCTATTCTCGGCTACTTGGCAGGAGAGCCTGACGAGGTGGGTCGTGGAAGGGGGGCTGTCCAACCGACAGGCCCGCTGCGTGCAAAACTCAAAGCCAGTAGAGATCTACGTCGGGAGCACCACGGTGACGGCGTGCAGGAGCGTGGAGCAGAGATTCTGGTACCCGGGCGTGAACAGTTTCTGGGCCGACGGTTCGGAGGCAGATGCTCAAGCGAGGAAGCTCGAGGCGCTGTGCGAGGCGGTCAAGATGCTCAAGTTGGACGACACGCAGGACAGCATTCATAAGGCGCTCATCTTCTGTAACGATAAAGAGGGCGTCGAACGAGTCGCCAGAGAACTGAAGTACCGGGGGCATCGCTGCGAGGCCTTCTCGAGCAACTCCAGCAGGGCAGAGCTGCTGGATCTGTTCAGGTGTCACGATAACAAGTTGCCGATGCTCGTCTGCACTCAGGTGCTCGGTCGCGGGATGCACTTCGACGACGTGAAGTACGTGGTGAATTACGATTTCCCGAACCGCGGGATGGTTGACTACGTCCACCGCATTGGCAGGACTGGACGCGGCAACAAGAAGGGGTTCGCCCTTACTCTCCTCGAGGAGCTCGACCTGCGGTACTCGAAGGAGCTGGTTGACTCTCTCAGAGAGATCGGCTACAGCCCCTCGTCTGATCCCCCATTGCCCCACTGGCTGGAGATGGAAAGCCGCCGTTATCCAGCTGCCTGCGGCAAGACTCGCCGCCGAGCCAGTCCAGCACCTTGGGTGACGATTGTTCGGGGGGCGCACAGGAGGCCCTAGCGTGTGACACCTCGTGTCCCGAGACTTGGGAGGAGCCGCAGCAGGTGGCACACTCTTCCGCGTCGTGTCAACAGGTGGCACACTCTTCCGCGTCGTGTCGGGGCCTCCTTGGTGTTGGCCATCCCTGCTTGGGCTCCCGTGGGGCAGTCTTGGGGCTCCCTTTGGACGTCTTGGGGCCGTCTTTGGGGCACCTGGGGGGGTCTCTTGCGGCTGTCTTGGGCCGGCGATGGGGCTCTCCAAGGCCGCCGTGGGTCCCTCTGGAGGCCCTCCCGGGCCAGCTTGGGGCCGCCCTGGGCCGTCGAGCGGTTTTTTTTGTTGGGGGCTGTTTTGAGGTCGTCTTGGAGAACCACTTTTGACCATTTGGGCCTTCGTGGGCCACCTCGGAGGAGGGCCGTCTGGAGCTGCAGGACGCCCAAGAAGGCGGAGGTGCCCGAATCTTTGAATAGTCTCCTTGGGCAATCTATGATGCTGGCCTCTCCAGGCCCAAACTGGGGGTCCTCCTGTGGGCCTGTGGCCCTCTTTGGGCCGCCTTGGGGGGCCTCTTGGGCCGTCTTGAGGCCATATCGGGTCGCTTTGGCGGCCCTACTGGGCCGTCTTGGAGACATCCTGGGGCCATCTTGGCCGCCTTGGTTGCCTGCCTCGGCCGTCTTGGAATCTCGGGAGCGTGGGTCCCTTGTCTTGAACAAGGGATCGTGGCCTCGGGAGCGCGTGCCCGTAGGCTTGTTCTACCGGTGGAAAGGGGGGGGGACAATGCACGCGGATGGATGCCTCGAGGGATGGGGGTAGCGGCGTCACCCCGACATACCATTATTGTTCGGCGGCGAGCGAGGGGGGAAACGAGAAGGAGAAGGCCTTCTCAGAAGGTGGCGGGACTTCTCAGAAGCCCTCGCGCCTTCTGGGACGTTTTCTGTGTCTTCGGGGAAGGCTTGGAAAATTTCTCGGAAGGCCCGGGGACTTCCGAGCCTTCTGAGAAGGCCCGCCCCTTCTCACTTCCCCCCTCGCTCGCCGTCGAACTATGTGTGCGTCGCCCCCTCCAGGGGCGACGCGCGCACCGAGACATCTTATAGTATATGCGTCGTGGAGGGCGCTTTTTGGCCACGCCGCTCGGGAAACTATATACTGCAAGATGGGTATGCTACATGTTCGGGTCGGACGCGCGCTTCCAAGGAGGACATGTAGTACATGGGTATGCTACATTTTCGGTTCGGAGGACACGCGCCTCCAAGGAGGACATGCAGTGCTAGTGTGTCTCTGTGCAAACACGGGGAAGCCTTAGATCGTAGAAGGCTACCAGACAGCGCTTGGCATCCTGCCACGCCTCCGCGCGCCAGGGCGGCACGCTGGCGGACAGGACCTTCTGGAAAAAGTACAACGACAAGCAGAGGCACCGGCGGCAGGCTGCCGAGGCCGCCGCACACGCCCCCGAGCCCGTGCAGGAACCGGGCCGCGCTGAGCCCGCGCCAGTGGACCCCGAGCCGCTGGGCGACGGCCGCTGGCTGCCCGAGGTCGCGGGTGCCCACCCCTCGAAGAAGAGCAAGCGCCAGAAACAGAAACTTTTGGCGCTCCGCGCGGAGGCCTCGGCTCCGCGCTGGGCCCCCCTGGCGGCGCCTCCGGCCTCGCCCCTGGCGCGCCCCGCGCGCCAGGGAGGGAGCTCTCTAGCCCAGGGTCCAGCAGTCCGCGCGGAGCGCTCCGAAAGGTTACGTTCCTGACGCCTTCTCTCTGCTCCTCGCTCCCGAGCCGACGCAGGGCGGCGCGCCGGGGCGCGGCGAGCCGCGGGGGCCGCAGGGCGAGGGCCGCGGGCGGCCGGAGGGCGCGGGGCCCGCGCCGTGGGCGCAGGGAGGCGCGCCGGGGAGCGGCGAGGCGCGGGGGCCGGCGCCGGGCCGGGGCCTGCTGCCAGGCCTCGGCATCGCTCGGACGTGTGCATTTTTCCTGCGGCGAGGGCCCTCGAGGAGCATCCTGGATCGTTCGGCGGAGAAGCCGCGCACGGAGCCGAAAAAAGCACCTGCAGGGGATGGGCGTCCGAGCGATGGCCAGCAGGGGCGGAGCCGCAGGGCGACGGCCGGTGGCGGCACCGTGGGCAGAACCGCAGGCTCGGGGCGGGCGGCAGGCGGCCTGCGCGCAGAGGGGGGTGGGGGGTCGAGTCGGGCCTTGTGCCTCTACAGGGAGAGAGGTCAGACATGGTTTTTAAGAATGGTCTCGGGACGAGTTGTCGAGTATTTTGGGGTACTTTTCTATACTCCCTGACCATGTCTCATTGTCCTCTCCAAAACCCGCCTGTAGGAGGACATGCCCGACCAACGAGTAGGGGGAGGGGGGAAGGCTTCTTAGAAGCACCCCTGCTTCTCAGCAGACGCGGGCCTTGTCTGTAGATGTGGGGCCCGCGCCTTCTAAGAAGCAGCCTCCTTCCAAGAAGCCTCCCCCCTCCATACCCCCGTGTGCGCGCCGCCAAGACAGGGGGGTGGGGGCGGGGGCTGCAGTCAAGGCTGAGCCAAGGAGCAGTTTGGGTTCGGAAGGGGCTCGCTGTTTCTTGGGTCCTTCCATGCCTGTTTCTCTGGCGCTCATCGTCTACGCAGGCGCCTGTGGGGCAAAGAGGGGTTTCGTTTCTTATCTCGCGTTCCTTATTGCAGCAGCCCGACTGTATCGGGGAAGGGGGGGTGCTTCAGGATCAGGTGCGTGCAGCGGGCTTCGGTGTCCCGCCGCCTTAGTCACTTTGCTCGATGCATTGACTCTTGGCGCTGCCTTGGGCCGGGAGAACCAGCTACAGTAAACTGAGTCGCCAACCTCCTCGTCGCTACCCTTATGATGTTCCTATCTACTTTAGCCTTGATCGCAAGAAAGAACTTCGAGCACCAGGGAAGTACCGAAATAGAACGTTTTTACGCGTCGGGCCCTGGGAGGCAGTACCCGCTCGACACTGTCTCGATACTTTCCTGGGTGCTCGAATTTTTTGGGGATGTGGCTCTTACGATGGGAGCAACATGACGCTACCCCCCCTTCCGTCCGCCCCGGCAGGCTCCAGTTCATCCTGGAGTGCAGGCGGCCGCCCCCGCACTTCGAGCCGCCGCGCTGCGAGTAGCGCCTCCAGCGGCGTTGCGGGCGCACGCGGCGGGGCAGCATGCTGGGCCATTGCGGCCTGCGGAGCGTACGCGTGCGGCGACAGGCGCGCTGCCGATGTAGAGAGCATCCGCTTGCTTGCTCCTTCTCCATTCCCTCCCTGGGCGCGCCGCCATTTTTTCGTAGAATTTCGCGTTCGCGCGGCACGGAATCGTTGGCCTCGGCAGTCGAGGAGCAAGAGACGGCACAAGCATGATTTCTCGGAGGTCGGCGCGGGTTTCTTGGATCGGCGCTGGACGCCCCTGGCGGCGCCTCCAGCGCCGCCCCTGGCGCGCCCCGCGCGCGAGGGAGGGGGTTCCAGCGCCGATCCAAGAAATCCGCGCGGACCTCCGAGAAATAAGCTGTTTTTGTTCCTCTGGATAAGACGTCCGTCGAACGAGGCTGAGTTGCTGGTTGGGTGCTCACCGTTGAAGGAAAAATTGTGCAGCAAGCGGTGAGGAGCCATTTCGCATGGCCCCCCTCTCCCCCCCCGGCTTTGCTATTGAGCAAGCGTTCCCAGAGAAGCGGCGCCAGGCAAATGTTCAGCCCAGCACCTCGAACACAACACTTGCCAATGTGACAGGCCAGGGGAGAGGGAATGTGCTTGTTTCTAGTTCTGGCGTTTTTTGTTGCAATGTTTCCTTCAACCGCAGGACAGTGTTGGCACCGGCCGCACTTCTGCATCTGAATCAAGTGGTGCGCCCACTTCAAGCCTAGGCAATCTCTGCGTGAGCCCGCGCACGTCGCAGCACTCCACACTCTCGTCTCCTCTCCCGACCAGGTGGTTCGCAGACGCCGACGCGGGCAAAAAATGTTGCTCCGAGTGGCTGTGCCCTTGCTCTTGGCCCCCTCTGGAAGGCGCCGCCCGAGCGACAGAGCGCGCGACCGAGCAGGGGACCGCAGCGACCGAGCGTCCTCTCTCGGCCTTATGATGTTCCACCCTACCCTAGCCTCGACCACCAGCAAGCCGTCCCCTTCCGTGACGTCCCCCGCGCCTCGCCCCAAGACACACGCATGCGGGCGGAGGGAAGTTTGACAGGCCAGCGTTACAGTCAACACGCACAATAAGGATGGGCAGCCTTCCCAAGGGTACCCTTGCATCCTTGCCCCTCCGGCCCATCCTTAGCGACTTTCGCTGGCCGCGCCCTGCTCGCAGAGTGTCGACATGGCCTTTTAAAGCCCTTGCATTACCAGCCTCGAACGTATCCCTATCCCTAAGATTGACACGCCAAAAGGCGATGACAATCTTAGGGATCCGCCCCCAAAAAATAAGGGAATCCCTAAGATTGGCATCGTGATGAGGAGGTGCCCAGCATAGGGATAGGGAGATGTTCCTGGCTGGTAATTGCATCCTTACCGCGCATCCTTATGATACGGGCTGACTGGACGTCACGAAAGGGGATGGCTTGCTAGAGGTCGGTTTAGACCGCGCCCGCCTGTCTGCCGTGACTCTTCCAGCCCGCGGGCCCGCGGAGCTTTTCCAGGAGGGGAGAACGCACACAGCCACCATGAATCGTCGACTCCCAGGAACACGGGGAACGCATGGGAAGCGGGGGCGAAGACGAAAACCCAGGAAAAACATAGCACAACACGTGGGAGAGATATGGGGCGAAGACGAAAACCCAGGAAACTAATATAGGACAATGTCGGGGATCCTGGGACTCGTGCTCGTTGCTCCTGTGTCCCTGGGCCCCATTCACTCTGCCGTCGTGGCGACGGCTTGGGCTGCGCGGCCTCGGGCGGGGCAGCGGCCAGAACGCAGGGCTGCGCCCCGGCATCCCTCCCAGTTGGCCTCAACATGCCTCCAGAGTGAAGTGCGGCAGGTCCGCGTCGTGACGACACTGGCGCTGGTTTCGGACACGGCGTGGGTCGTTGAAACTCGAACGATCGGCGGCTTTTCGATGGCCAGATCGTTCCCTGTTGGCCGCTCTCCCTCGGGGACCCGCTCTCTGCGCCGCGCCCCGGGCGTCGGGCACACGGCCGCCGGAGGCCCAGGTCGGCGACGGCGACGGATGACGACGACGGCGGACGGCGGACGACGACGACGGCGCACGACGACGGCGGCGGCGGCGGCGACGACGACGACGACGACGGCGGACGACGACGGACGGCGGACGGCGGACGGCGGACGGCGGACGGCGGACGGCGGACGGCGGACGACGGCGGCGGCGACGACGACGTCGGCGACGGCGGCGACGGCGACGACAACCACCATGAGGGCGACGACGGCGACGGCCACCACGGCCACGCCGACGACCACGACGACGACGACGAAGGCGGCGACGACGGTCGGGCAGCAGGTGCTGCGCCGAGGGACCTGGCGGCGGCCAGGGGGTCTAAGCTGGATGGGCCCTGGGCAGATCGGTCAAGACGTGGATGCAAGGGCAAATCCGCTCAGAATCGAGCCCCGGGGCCCTCCTCGGGTCCATGTGGTGCAGGCTTTCACCCCCGACCCGTTCGTGGCGGTCCTGGGGCCCGAAACTTGCCGCCGGAGGCCAAAAAGTGCGAAAGACCTCGAATCCAGAACCTCGAGCCCCTCCCCCTCCCCTCCTGCTGGCCAGAACCACTGCTGCCAATGCTGGGCCACCCCCCAGACCCCCAGACGACTCCAACTGACGACGACGGAGGCGGCGGCGGCGGCGACGACCTCTCCGCCCACGACGGGCTCTGACAGCGGCCCCGTTCCGCCTGCAGGCGCTGGCGGCGGCCGCGTTGTGCGCCACGCCCTTGCGCCCACAGGCCTTCGCGGCGGCGGCGGCCGCTCGCTCTCGGGGCGCCCCCCGCGCAGCACCTGCCGCCCGACCGTCGTCGTCGTCGTCGTCGTCGTCGTCGTCGTCGTCGTCGTCGTCGTCGTCGTCGTCGTCGTCGTCGTCGTCGTCGTCGTTGTCGTTTGGAGGGCGACGTCGACCTTCTAGAAGACCAATCTCTGGGGCCTATGCTTTTTTCCCGCTTTCACGTTCTAGCCACAAGTGTCTATAGGCACACTCGGGTTGGATGCGACAATCGACGAGGCGACCGTTGCGTTCGGCGCAGTGCAAGATCGGAGAGAGGAAGGATCCGTCTTTGGCATGCTCCTGTCCTCAAGCAGGTCCCAGACGGTAATGACTCCAGGTTGTCGCCGCCGGCGTCGCCGACCTCGTGGTCGACGTCGTGGCCGTCCTGGCCGTCGTGGCCGTCGTGGCCGTAGTGGTCGTGGCCGTCGCCGTCCTGGCGGTCGTCGTGATCGTCGCGGCAGCCGCTTCGACGGGGTCTCGGCCCGGCTCGGCCAGGGCGGGTCGCGGCTGCGCCGGCCTCGGCTCGCGGGGCCTCGGCCCGCTCGGGTGAGGTCTGCTTCGCCTGGGGCTGTCCCGGCGCCTCGGCTCGGGGCCTCAGCCAGGGCCAGGACGGGGAGGAGTCCGTGCCAGAGCGCTCCAGGGCGCTCTCGGAGCGCTGCGGAGCGCTCTGAGAAGGCCGCGGCGCCCGAAACATCCTCCAGATCTGAGAGATTCTCGGTTTGTGCTAACCCGATGGTGTCCTCGTGTCCTGGCATCGTCTCAGGGTTGGAGAGCCCTGGGGAGGGTCGACTGTTTGGGGCGGCCTCCGTGTCGATTCGGGGTTCCTTCTGCGGTGGCCTCTTTTCCTGCTGACTCCCTGCCTCCTCCTCCTCTCCGCTGCTGCGCCTCCTCCCGTCTTTTCCTCCACTTGCCCTGCTGCTGCTGCTGCTGCTGCTGCTGCTGCTGCTGCTGGTGCTGCTGCTGCTGCTGCTGCTGCTGCTGCTGCTGCTGCCTCCTTCCCTCTCCCTCCCTCCCTCCATCCCTCCTCCTCCCTCTCCCCTCATCCTCCTCCTCCTCCTCCTCCTCCTCCTCCTCCTCCTCCTCATTCTCCTCCTCCTACACCTCCTCCTCCTCCTCCTCATCCTCATCCTCCTCCTCCATACCTTTTCCGTATGAAGAACTTGTCGCACCTTGAGGCCGGTCGAAAAGGCGGGCTGGGCGTTTCGCTTGATCCTGAGATTGAAAGTTTGGAAGAGCTTCACGAATGGAGGGCGGTTCGTTTTCACAATGTGGTTCTCGCCTCAGCGCCGCGCACATTCGTTTTAATCATCTGCAAGAGCATCACGGATGGAGGGCGGTCCGTTTTCAAAATGTAGCCCTCGCATCAGCGTCGCGCACTTTCGTTTCTAAAGTGTGCAAGAGTTTCACGGATGGAAGGCGGTTCTTTCTCAAACATGTGGCTCTCATTAGCGTCACGCACATTCGTTTTAAAAGTTTGCTAGATGGAAGGCGGTTCCTTTTCAAGATGTGGCTCTCGCCTTAGTGCCGCGCACATTCGTTCTGGAAGCTTGCAATTGCTTCACGGATGGAGGAGGGAATCTTTTCAAAATGTGGCGTCTCGCATCAGCGCCGCGCGCATTCGTCTTACGAGTTTGTAGCCGTGTCAAGGAGTCTCATGGTTCACGTGGCAGAAATGGCGCTTGGCACGATGTTGGAATGTCAGGGCGCAACAGTCGCGTTGATCCTCGGTGATGAAGTCCCAGGAATGGTGTTCAGGATCGTGAAGACGCAACGCGCTGATGTCCCAGGGATGGTATTATGGCACATTTCCGGATTTTCAAGCAGTTGTCTTCCAACGGGGCACTTCCCTCAGTAGAAATGGATCCGTGTATGGGGCCTATGAAAAGGAAACTTGGACGGAGGGTGTGTTGGAACATCGTTGATGAGTCTTGGTGTTACACTGCTCCTCCTCCTCCTCCTCCTCCTCCTCCTGCTCCTCCTCCTCCTCCTCTTCCTCTCCTCCTCTTCCCCCTCCCCCCTCTCGTTCCCTCTTGGACCCCGATGCGGTTGTTTGCACGTGCCGACTCGACGTTTCTTTCGTGTTGCACAACATGTTCCATATCCTCCTCGTCCTCCTCCTCCTCCTCCATCTCCTCCATCTCCTCCATCTCTTCCTCCTCCTCCTCCTCCTCTTCCCTCCTCCTCCTCCTCCTCCTCCTCCTCCTCCTCCTCCTCCTCCTCCTCTTCCCTCCTCCTTCTCATCTGCCTCCTGGCGCTCACAAAGACATGCCGCGGGGGGTCGCGAAACACTGCGCCACCGCCTTCTGCCTCCAGGGGCCGTAGGAGGCGCGGGGCCATCGCAGCGATGGGACCCTGGGCCACTGGCCGCCCGGGCTTCCTGGGGAGCCCGCACTGGACGCCAACTGGCAGCAGCGATAGTGCAGCGTCGGCACCTTGGGCCGCTCGCCTAGCCGCCTGCCTTGTCTCTTGTCCTCCGCCATCTCCTCCTCCTCCGCCTCCTCCTCCTCCTAATTCTCATCCTCCTCCTCTTCCCCCCCTCTCTTTTCATGAGGTGGCTGCCACGGTGCCGGCCGTGCGTCCTCCTCCTCCTCCTCCTCCTCCTCCTCCCTCCTCTCCTCCTCCGCTTCCTCCTCCTCCTCCTCCTCCTCCTCCTCCTCCTCCTCCTCCTCCTCCTCCTCCTCCTCCTCCTCCTCGTTATCATCGGCAGCACCACTATCTCCCGGTCGCTACCCACCACCTGCACAGTCGAACGGGGACGGCCTCCTCCCTGCGGCCCTCGACCTCCCGCCCTGCCGAGCCGCCTCCGGAAGTGTTGACGACCTCATCTGCTCCCGAGCGGTCGACGGGCCACGTGGCCCGCGTCACCTGCACGGCGCGAGGATGGCCGCGCTCGGCGTTTTGACTGGCGGCGAGGGAGGGGGGGGAAGTGAGCAGAGGCGGGCCTTCTCAGAAGGCTCGGAAGTCCCCCGGCCTTCTGAGAAGTGATCTAAGCCCTCCCCGAAGACACAGAAAACTTCCCAGAAGGCGCGAGGGCTTCTGGGAAGTCCCGCCGTCTTCTGAGAAGGCCTTCTCCTTCTCATTTCCTCCCCTTGCTCGCCGCCGATTTGCGGCACGGGGGTCGCTGGGTTGAGATGGATGGGAGGAGATGGAATCAGCAGCGCTTTTTACTCTGACGGCCCAGTGGAGGTTCAGGGAACCCGCTCACCACCCTCGTTCAAGCGGTTTGGGAATTCACTGTTACGGAAAATGCAAGCTGCTGATGCTCTCTGCGCCATGCGTGAGACAACAACGATTGGCCGCCACCACCCCAACCAACCAACCAACCAACCAACCAACGAATTACGTCCACATGTCTACGGTGCCTCTCCGAGGCGCCTCTCTGGGTCGCTGGGTGGAGGAACAGCTTTCTTCGGTAGCAAATCATTGGAGCCTGATATACCCTTTCCATTCGGTTCTTAGCGTCGACTAACGTCGATTAGCGCCTGGGAGTCGACGAGATAGCGCTGAATTGGCGTCGGTCGGCTAGCGTCGATTGGTGTCGATTGAGCTTCGATCAGCGTCGACTAGCGCCGATTCCCGTCGATGCGCAAGAGCCGACACGATGGTATGGGAGGCTCCCATGAGCTGCCACCGAAGCTTTCTCTTGCCTGCCATGGGCACTGTGGGGGGGGGGGGGGCGGGCGATAGGCTCAGGGGAGGGACGCATCGACCCCCACTCGCTTTTCTATCGAGGAGGGGGGGCCCGACTGCCCGCCTCGCCCAGGCAGGCGCGGACTCCCTGCCGGGGGCCTGCCGCCGATCCATCGGCGATGCAGCGCCGGTTCAAGCTCGGTGCCTCCTCCCCAGAGCTGACCTTCCAGGAGGGCCAAAAAATAGCACTCGACCTAACAGCCTATCCTAGAGCTATTATACGTCTTGGTTTTAGGCTGTCTCGCTCGGTTTTTTAGGTCATTAGGTTTCCAGTGCTAAAAAATAGCTCCCTGGAAGGTCAGGACCCAGAGCTGGCCCGCCGGTGGTTTTCGGGGCCTGGCTCGGGCCTCCGGCGGCCGCCTGGGACGACCTGCGGGCTTCCCCGGAGAACGCCCTCGGCGAGGCGCATCCGCTGGAAGGCACCCCCCGAGGCTTGAGAGCCGCCCAGGACCCCTGCAGACGTCCAGGAGCCCCTCAAGCCTCCTCGAACCTCGAAGCCTTGGTGCCTCGAGGCTCGAGGCCCCCCCTCCCCTCCCTATCTGAAGGGGCCCCAGGACACAAATAAATACACAAATAAAAATATCCCCCATATTTTCTCATATTTCCCCATATCCTAAGATGGGGTTCTTGTTCCCCATATCCTAAGATGGGGTTCTTGTTATTACTTGGACGCCTCCTACTACTCCTCCTCCTTCCTCCTCCTCTTTTCTCCTCCCCTCCTGTCGGACATACTCAGACTTGCTCATACACAGACTTACTCATACTCAGACTTACTCATACTCAGACCTACTCATACTCAGACTTACTCACACTCAGACATACTCATATACAGACTTACTCATACACAGACTTACTCATACACAGTATTAGTCATACCCAGACGTACACATACACAGACTTACTCATACACAGACTTACTCATACTCAGCACCCCTAAGGGGAGCCGCCAGGGGTGGTTGCACGGGCTCGTTCGCGGCCATTTTGTGGGGATGTCTCAGGCGGTTTGCCTGTTTCTGTGCCCAACATCCTTCGCTTTCGGAGCAGATTTGGAGGATGTCTCGAGCGAGGCGCTCATTTCAGCACCCCTAAGGGGAGCCGCCAGGGGTGGTTGCACGGGCTCGTTCGCGGCCATTTTGTGGGGATGTCTCAGGCGGTTTGCCTGTTTCTGTGCCCAACATCCTTCGCTTTCGGAGCAGATTTGGAGGATGTCTCGAGCGAGGCGCTCATTTCAGCACCCCTAAGGGGAGCCGCCAGGGGTGGTTGCACGGGCTCGTTCGCGGCCATTTTGTGGGGATGTCTCAGGCGGTTT